GGAACAAAGAAAGTGGTGGGTACAAGGAGTCTCACGCATACCTTTTCCATCGCGTGCAATACGGCTCTCTGGGTGAACACAAGCCGGAGGGAAGGATGCCAGGCTACAGCTCAGGGCTTCTTCCCGGAAAAGGGCAGATGCTGAGAAGGAATTCAGCAAGTGCTTCCAGAGCAATGGGACACAAAGCTACAAGTCTGATCCTCTTAGTATATTGAGCCTATCTCAATGACTCAGGCACCTATTACTCTCCTAAGGAACAGCTCAGTGACAAAGCACCTGAGAGAGCCGGGCACAAACCTCTCTGCAGGCACTTCATGCCCTGCTCTCTTCCTCTCCCTCCCTTTCCTCCCGTGTCAGATTTCTTTTCAGTTTCTCCCCATTTCACTTATGCTCTGCTTTTTCTCCTTCTATTTCACTCAGACTCTCTAGTTCCCTTTTCTTTTTTAGGAGACAGCTACTTTGGCAACTTTGGCAGCTTTTTCATGGACTTTCAATTCCTGTGCCAGTTGTGGTTAGGAGGAGTTAAAGCCAGAAGCCAGGAACTTCTCAGTCCTTTTGACTCTTCCAGGAAAAGTAAGCAAGCCCAGCACAACGAGTTAACTGGGCAGAAAGGTATAGACAGCAGCCCCAGTGGCACAGTTTCATGAGGAGAGCAAGCCCTAGCAAGAGATTGTTTCATTTCCCAAGCAGAGCTTTCAGGGAGGGACATGTTCAGTCGTATTGTTGCGGGTGGGAGTGGGGGCAATGGGGAGCATTTGCGCTGCTGCCTGCTGTTTTCTAGAGTAGGAGTATGCTGCCTCTGTGACTCAGTGCACTCTCTCAGCTGTTTCAGGCACTTTTGCAGCACCTGAGTACATGCTGGTAAACAGAAAAGGTGTTCTGCTCCAGAAAATGGCTGCCTGTAACTGACTGAAATGCTCCTGAAGACGAGTCTGCAATTGTTCCAAGATCCTGCTAGTTGACAGGCACTACGAATATTAGCTGTTTTCCCCAGAGTGACATTCCCTGCCTCTGTCCTCCCTATCCTAGCCAGAAGTACCCAGAGAAACGTTGCACAACAAAGGGGTGCCTGAAAATCTTTATTTTTGACAATTTTTGTATGTCCAGTCCCAAAACAGAAGAAAATGAGGAGGAGAAAAAGCAGGTCACGTAGAACGAGAGTGTCTCAGTTGGCAGACATAGTTGCTTTGATCCAGGAGACATAATTGCAAACCTTAGTGTAAACCCCGGGATAGCCTTTCTGCGCGCATCCAATACCCCAGGAAACAATGCCCTGGAGCTGCCCGTTGCAGACTACGGGGCCGCCGGAATCCCCCTGTGCACATAAAGGAGGCAGATATTCAGCAAAATGCATCAGCGTAAGTGATGAGCCAGAGATCCCAGGAATCACCGACATTCGAGGGAGCTCCACTGGGCTTTTTCTACACAGGAGTTCTACAAAGGTCATTTCTGATTACCACTCTACACCTGATCCTACGCTGCCTTACTTTAGCTCCAAGGGCACCACAGCTAAGGATGAGTATGCTGCCTATTTTTGACGGATGCAGTCCTTGGCAGGTGCTTAGGATATGTGTGTCTTAAACATTATTCTGCCAAATATTTCCATGGAGCTAGGCACCTGTAAAATGCAGAGCAATTGTCAGGTGTGTTCATTTTCCAGAGTACCTGGATCTTGGCATACTGGCTATGTCATTTTTCGTGAGTCCAAAACTAACATTTGTGTCCTAAGCTCTAAAGTTACCATGATCACATTGACCCTCTGGTGCAGCACTCCTCCATTTTCAATAGCCTGAGGTGCAGGAGGTGGCACAGCCTGCTTGCGGAGAATTAGCGCAGAGGTATTCGCTGTCTCAAAAAAGGGACAATGACTAACTGAGCGGAAGAAAACCTAGCCTCGCTCAGTAAGCAACTTTCACCCTAAGCCTCCATTGTTGTTCAAAACCCCAACATTCGGACATGCCAGTGGGTGTAGCAGATTCTCTAATACGATGGCCTCTTCTACTAGCAAAAGGCAGGAGAGAAACACATGGGAAAGGAGAGGCAGGACTCCTTACCTGGCAGGAGTCTTTCCCTCCCTCCACGAATCCTACGCATATCATGTTCTTGGTAATTTTCCCAGGGTAGGCTTTGCTGCACTCCCTTGAGGAGAGTACAGGAGCCTTCAGGCACTGCAAGTTATCTGGATACTGATCTACAAGAAAATAGGGAGAGGTGGTTGATGGCATCTCTGAGTTCATTTCAGGGCCCAGAGAAGTTCTTTCTTAGCAGAAAATTTGTCACTGAACTTCCTGTTTTAGCAGTCATCATTTTTCCTCTGACGATGGAGCGGGTTCTACCCATGGGTCCACCATTCTACACTGCGGCCATGTTACTTTTTCTGATACCTAGAAGATCATCCGGTGGCAAGTGCGGAGCTAAGAGCTACTCTTGTAACACATGTGCCAGAGGAAACCTGGGCCTCAGGAAAACCATCCTCTCCTCTGGTGCAGGTCTCGTTGTCATCAGTGGGTTAGACACCAGTCACCCTCCACGACTCTAGAGAATGGAGCTCTCTTGTGGTAATTTTAGATCCACAATGGCAGATTTTGATCTTGTTCTCAGAGAGCTGACAACTCTCTTGACATTAGTAAAATTGCTGGCGCTTGGCCCTGAGCAGCTGATAGCACCAGGCCACAAAATTTGTGGCAGTGTGAACATCCTGGGGAACAGCACATGGATGATTGAAGTGCTTCCATGTTTGCAACACAGAACAAAAGGAAGGACCTTATAAAGCTTGCCTTTAGAGCAGCTAAATGGTTACTGTCCTACACAGGCTGATCACTCAAAAGGGCCTGTCCCACAGCACTTCTCTGTGCTTTACCCTGTACCGTTTGGAGTTAATTGTGACGTCTTAGAGCATCTCCCGGGCCCTCACGATGCTGTCCATTCCCACATAGTACTCACTGCCATTGCTGAGTGTGTTGCCCCAGCCAGAGATTAGGCACATGGTGCCTGTGGCCACACAGCCGGTAGGCAGAGGAACTGTTTGGACAGCTCGGTTGAGCTGGGCTGGTTCGGCAAGCTTGATGAGCATAATGTCATTGTCCAGTGTTGCGGAGCTGTAGTCAGAGTGGCGGATGACTTTAGCTGAACTAATCAACTGCTGTGTCGATTCTGTGAGTGCCAGGTTATGTTTCCCGAGCTGCACTTGGATGCGACTGGAAAAAGAGAAGGAGTGGCCTATACTTTACTGCTACCGACAGGTTATGAGGAACCTCCCCGTCACACAGTATGCGCCCGCTTCAACGTTGCTATCATAATAACTGTTTTCATGCAGGTTATCTTTCTCATCCTGCAGTAAGTCCCAGGGATCCACACTGAGATTTTTGCCCACTCCCGCTACAGCTGGTGAATTTCTGCAGGTTTATTTTGTTGAGCTGGGACAAGTTGAATATATAACAGTGCTTTATACAAGCTTTCTGGAAAAAGGCAAACTGCAATCACCCTGGCCTCATTCCTCTTTCCAGTGACTCAGTTTTAGCAAGATTAATGCACTTTATAGGAAATCACAGCCCGTAACTCATTGCTAGATTATCACATTGCCATTTCAGAAAGTGCTGTGCAGAAATGTTTGCAGAAGTGGAAAACCCCTCATGATGAGTCAGCCCAGCTTCTTGAACGCATCACCCGGTACCTTGGTTGTCTCCTGTCAGAGCGGAGTCACTTACATATTTGGATCTCACAGCTC